TAATTAATGAAAAATGACTATCTAAAATGCTTAACCTGCAACTACTTTAATAGTCCTTTTTATCCTCTGTATGTTATCATTTTTAAAAGTTTGGGTCATATATATTAAATTTGTATCATCATACTTTTGGTGGCCAATTTCATGGGGATACATTAAAGACCATTCATTTCTGAAAGAAAGAAACAAAAGAAGACACAGAGGAAAAGGGTTTTCCAGACAGAGAGACCCCTATCTGAGAAAAAACAGTGTGGTGTGGGAAAATGGACTGAACCAGGCTCGGTGTGTTGGGGTTAGGGAAGGAGGTCACCACACAGAGCAGTGACAGGCAACAATACTTAGCAAGTAACACCCGTGAACAGTTGACAAGAGTCACGTGGAAAACGTAGAAAAGGTCTTGCCAAGAGACATTTCTTAAGTTCTTCAGATTCCTGGTGAGAATGTTACAAAGAATTTTTTTTGCCTCCAACTAACAGTATAGAGCAATAGTGGATGTTTCAGTCCTTGTTGTGTGCTGGACACTATTTTAAGAAATCAATATATATTAGTATACATTTTACATCACTATATATTCATTGAATGGCTTATAGTTTAATATTTTCAATAATGTACTTATCAATAAGAGAAGATGCAAATGAGAAATTCTTGACTGTTTTTATTTAAGAGTAATGAATGATGGCCTAAATCTATCAGATATTCAACCTAATTTTAATACCTTGATAAAATAAGTTGTGTTTTGCCACAAGAATGAACAGATTAGTGGAAGAAAAACTAAATTAGAAAGTCACAAATATGGTTTTAATATGAGGTTCAGGAGGTTTTACATAACACTGGGGAAAAGGAAGGTTACTCCAAAAGTACTGCAGAAATTACTGAGTGGGTTTTATGGGATTAAAAGTACATTAACTACTTGGTAAATATTTTTTAATCACAAAATAATTTATAATGGTTTTACCTCCTACATGGAAAGTATTTCTCTAAGAATGAAAACAATGTTGGAAAGTATAAAGGCAAAATAAATTCATTTGACTACATCATTCAACAAATACTTATTGAGTGCATTTTATGCGCCAGATACTGGAAAACCTATAAAATGAAATACATTGTATTTTTATCAAAACTACAAATGAAGCTAAAAACCCAATAACCAATCAAAAGCATGTATGCTGTACTTACTGCAATGTATTACTACAATTAACACAAATTGATAGTAAAACATGTTAAAGTGCTAGCAAATAGATTAATGAACAGTACAGACTGCCAGTTTAAAAAAGAAAAAACAGTGCTTCCTGATGGTCTTGCTGTGAGGTTTTTGAGACATGGTCTTACTGTATGGCTCTGACAGCCTTAGAGCTTGTTTTGTAAACCATACTGGTCTTGAACTCACAGTGCACATGCCTCCACCCCTACCCCCACTTACAGGTGTGCTCCATCACACCCGACCCATGAATTGTTTAGTTGTTTTGTTTGTTTGTTTTTTAAGAAAAAGCCAAACCTAAACATTCAGGGCCTCGGGGCCAGAAGCAGACTCAGGGGGTAAAAGTGCTTACTATGCAAGTATTGCTGACCTGAGTTCAAGCCCTGGGTCTCAAGCTAGAAGGAGCGAATTGATTCCTGTAAGTTGTCTTCTGACAACCAGAAGGACACCATGTTTGCACACACACACACACACACACACACACACACACACACACACACGGCACAATAAGAAAGAAATAAATAAACTAAAACTCAGTGGGCAAAGAGATATACATTAAAACAAATGATCATGTATAACATTAATTTCACAATGTAGGCGAGGATGTGAAACTTTATTTTCCATTTTGTGCTATGTTATATGTGTGGATGTTTTGTCTGCATGCATTTCTGTGCACTGTGTGCTTGCAGTGGCCTCTGAGGCCAGAAGAGTGTATCAGATGCCCTGAAATTGGAGTTACAAACCATGTAGGTGCTGGGAATCAAACCCAAGTCCTCTGGAAGTAGCCAGTGCTCTTACCCACAGAACCATCTCTCCAGCCCCTAGAACAATCTTTTTAAATACTGATGCTGAGAATAAACTCTATGGTAAAATGTCATTCCACATAAAGGAAATATTATTTCAATACTTCACACTCTTTGGCAATTAAGTTCTCCTATGAATCTATCTTAAAAGAGTGAGGAGAGCCAGGCGGTGGTGGTGCACGCCTTTAATCCCAGCATTCGGGAGGCAGAGGCAGGCGGATCTCTGTGAGTTCGAGGCTGGGCTGGACCGATAGCCTCCAAAACAATACAGAAAAACCCTGTCTCGAAAAACCAAAAAAAAAAAAAAAAAAAAAAAAAGAGTGAGGAGAAATGCCGGCAGGAACTTACACATTAAATTTTATCATTACATTGTTTTTACATAAAAGAAAATTAGAGGAAGATAAATCTAACTATACAAGAACAGAAAGTCTTTATGTGAATAATAGTATTTCTATATAAAGCACTAGTAATTTGTATAAGCTATTCTTGCAAGAGCTTGATGACAAAAACAAAACTAAGTGGCAAGTGCAAATTATCAAACATAATTTCTTGACCATGTGAAGTTATTCATACAAAGAACTAATAAGAAAAAAGTCTAGAGTTTATCTATATCAGTTAAAAACAGTTTGTCTAGAGTTTAAAAATGAGTGACTTGTTAAAATGCCTCCCAATCTTCTTTTACAAACACCAAACAAACACTTTCAGGATCATTAGGAATATTCATTGTGGACGCTTTTTTAAATTAATAAATGTATCAGTTATTCTTCTAGCAAGTTTAACTAGTATCTACCTATAATATTTTCACTGTTCTTTGGATCACCATTCTTGCCATATTACTCAGTTGCTGTTGTAGCCAAAAAGAAACAGGAAGGGTAATTTCTATGGTGTTGGAAAAAATGACAGCAGCTCCTGGAAACCTACAGGCTAAAGTGGCACGGAGCAGTGTTTAAGCTGAACACAGGCTGATTTCCCCGAGGACATCAGAGAAACACCGTGCTCCATTCTAGAGGTTATGAAACAAACTTGTACCAAAGCTATTACTGCAAACAGAATCGGGCTGTGTGTTAACACAGGGATACACGACTCATTTAACAACACCTGTTGCCACAAACAAGGAATTGGATTTTCCTACACTGGCCACCATTTGCTCTCTGACAGAGATAGCTAAAGCAGTGCTCACTTGTTTAGAGCATAGAAACCACCATAGAAAGTGAAAATCCACCTTCTGTGTGTTTTTAACATCTCCCCTGAAGTGTGTAGATACATAATTTCTCTCTTTTCATTCAGAATTCTGTGTAGGTAGAGTTAGCTTTAGTTTACCATTTAAATTTATTATTTTCTTTTCCAAAAACACAATTTCATTGCCACATTTCAACTTAGAAAGAAAGCATATTACAATTCCCCCACACACACACTTTGAAACTCACTGTAAAACATTATAGAGAAACCAGGTGAGAAACTGACACAAGTGAGAATAATCTATCTTTTGTTTTCAACTTGTTATTTTGGAGGCATTATATCCAATGTTTAGGAGGAGTGAGTGATAAACCAGACAGCTGAAAACAAAACTCAAGGATCTTTGTGGGAATGACAAATATGCCCTCTGGTGGAACCAAGGCTGACAATGCCAGAATAATTCTGGAATCATACAACCGGCATTATTCAGTCCAATTGGTCGATCTTGATTCATCAGCAGAAACCAGTAACATTTATTTGACTTAGCCTAGTAGCTCAGGGACACTCAGCCATCAGTACATCTCATTTGTCATATAAATCTGGCTTATTCCCTGATTGGGTTTTTTCCTGGTTCACACTTCATTCTCTGTGAATTGCAACCACAGGAAGTGGTGTACAGTCAAGCAGGGTTGCCTCCATTCACGTTAGGGGAAGACCATCCACATTAACCATTTTTGTGTCTATGGGGATAAAGCCTTGGGAGCTGGGGCTGAGTGTATCCAAGGTAAATGTGGGCTGGTTTTCTGGAGAACTTGCCATGATTAGAGACTGGGAGCAGGGATGTGATTGTGTGTGTGTGTGTGTGTGTGTGTGTGTGTGCCTGTGTATCTGTGTATCTGTGTATCTGTGTGTTTCAGGACCCTGAAAAGTTCTAATTAAAAGGTATCTGAATTCAGAGGCCAAGCATTCAGAACCCACATAGGCAACAGGCTGATAAATTCTCCAACAAAATGTCTCTGTAGAGCAAAAGCCCAGCTTTGACCTCTTCAGTCAGGGTTTTCTCTACTTAATCGTACAGCCTCTGAGAAATTCACTGACCGTAGTGAAAACTTTTCTATAACACGCAGAAGTTGGTGAGATCAGAAAGGGCTCTGGAATGTTCTCTATAGTTCCCTATCATGCTACAAATGAAGAAACTGACCTACAAAGGCCAAATCACCAAACACACAGAACTGGAGGCAGTGTGTGGAGCAATTCCTCAACCTTTCGGTGGCCAGGTCTGTGTGTGTGTGTGTGTGTGTGTGTGTGTGTGTGTGTGTGTGTGTGTGTGTGTGTGTGTGGTATTTGTATAGATTCTGTTTTATGAGAAACAGCAAGATTCAGCTGGAACTCGGCTCCTTGGGCAGTTCCAATACCTGTGGATCAAGGGTGCATCCATAGAACCTGGCTTCTCATTGATAGAGAGGGAGTGATAGACTGGAACTCTCCTCTTTACATAGGCCATCCTCTCCATCTGAGGTCAGAACACGAAGTGCAAGGAGAATGTATGAGCGTCTGACTTATGACATTGCCAAATGGGTGCATCCCAGGGATGTTTTATTATAATTCAGGTCAGATTTAGTGATCTCGCCTCACGCTCTCATGGGACAGGATGATGCATTCTGGGTAGAGGCAGAGTAGGTAGGGCCTGGACAAGAGGAGAGTCCTTCTGTCCACTCAGCCTGCTTGGCGTTCCAACCACCCTGGCTGTGAAGCTCAACCAGACAAGTGCCTCTTGGGACTGCTTCCCCAACAAATGAAAAAATATGCCCTTGAAGCAGGAGTGAAACTGAACTATCTAAGGAAAACAGTGAGAGCAAATATTGCGCTGAGGGGAGCTTCTGATTAGGAGACCTCCCTCCGGCCAGCCGGGCTACACACCTTCCCAGCAGAAGGGTGGTGGCTTGCTCTCGGAGGCCTGGGACCAGCAGCTGAAGCCATGGCCACCACCACGTGCCAGGTGGTGGGGCTCCTCCTGTCCCTCCTGGGTCTGGCTGGCTGCATAGCTGCCACTGGGATGGACATGTGGAGTACCCAGGACCTGTACGACAACCCAGTCACCTCGGTGTTCCAGTATGAAGGGCTCTGGAGGAGCTGCGTGCAGCAGAGCTCGGGGTTCACCGAGTGCCGGCCATACTTCACCATCCTGGGCCTTCCAGGTAGGCGAGGCGATAGAGGAACAGGAGAGGCTGAGGGGCTGTGCGCCCTCAAGGACTCCCACGACTGAACCGTGGCAGCCCTGGCTCCCAATAAAAGGTATGAATAAGAAAAGTTGGCCCTGCATCGAAGGAGGCAGGAGCCACACGGGAGATGCGAGAACCCACACGCCAGCCAAAGAGAATGGCTCTCATGTAAGGACATGCTGGTGACCGCTAATTTGAACCTTATTACTTAAGGAGAACATACATGGCTTGCTTTGGTAAGCAGGAAATTCACTTCTGCCTGCATATACATGAGTAGGGAAGGGGGTGGCATTTTGCTTTAGACAGAGAAATTTATTGAGAGTGACTTCAATTGTGTTTTCAATTCCATTAGCTTTTTTTTAAATCGGGGCCTCTGTGAGGAGTAAAAACATTATCATTATCATTAAATTATGATTTTCTTTGTCTGCATTTGTGATGAAAATATCTGATATACTTGCTCTAAAAATCGGAGTTGTCAGGATATAATATTGTAACAATGTAGACTATAAACATATGACACCATTTCACCTTTGAAGACTAAGTTGAATTTTGCTTCTAATACAGATAACTATTTCAGGCATCATAGGGACTTTGCATCCTTGATAGTATACGAACTCAATTAGTACTTAAGAAAAAGAGCCAGCAAGGGTATGGAGGTGGCTTTGGTTCTCTGAAACAAGCCCCCTGTAAAGAGAGAGCTGAAACAAATTTACAAGCTGTGAAGAGGTTGTGGAGTCCTTAGGGTAGAGCTGTAAAGAAGCAATTCAAAGAATTCGTCTTCATTTTGAGAAAGGAGTAGAGCCAAGCGTCAGGGTGTATTCTGCTTAGCAAAGCCAACCATCGCAGGGCTGTCATGGCCACTGACTCAATGAGAGACCTGAGTGGGGAGGGAAGGAGGAAGAAACAGCCAGAGGGGAGAGAAACAGGCTGAGAGATTGTGCTGTGTTGAAGGGACCGGTCATGGGGAGGCCATGCAAAACCTGGATTGCTTCATGGCTCGCCACGCCCATGTTAACTATGAGATGGAGAGAAAAAGACTGAGAACTGAGGTGGTATCCCCATCTCCCATGGCGTCTGTCCCATGCTCGCTTCCTGGCACCCATCAAACACCGCTGACCGCATATGCTATCACAATCTCTGCTTTGACTCTTCCAAACATCTCCATCCACTCTCTCGTGGCTCAACCCAATTGCAGCACCTCCACTCTTGTCCCACAGTGGGACCCTTTCCTTCCGCCCTGAGCATCTGTCTCTCCGCTGTCTCCTGGAGCTCCATAAAACTCACCTCCCAAGCTCTGGAGGCCTTTTGCCCTCCTCTCTAGGACCCTGCCCTGTGGATCTGCCCCTGGCCTCATATCCTTCGCCTCTCCTGCTGCCTTGGACTCCTGCCCTTCTCCCCTGGAAAATGTCTTCTCATTTCTAACCATTGTCAAGTTCTGCCTCCTTCCTAGTCACTGACAACCAGTGGGCATTTTCCCACCACTTGTAGACAAACACTTCGCCTTCCTCGGCCTAGTTTCGGTCCTTTGCCCTGGATGACCTGCTCCTGTGAGCACAGCATGAGGTTGGGGTGATCCTGCCCACCACAAGTTCCCACTCCCCAGTTTCCTACATGTGTCACAACCCAGGCAATTCCCATGATTCTCTATTCCCTGGTTGATTAGTGAGGAGACACAACGGTCCAACCCAGGAGCCTTTCCACACGCCCTCCTTCCTTCCCTGCTCCCTCTCTCTTCCTAAGGCCTCTGCCCCACCCCCTCTCCTCTTAGTGTTCTCTGGCCCAGTCACCCAGAACATTCCCTCTCACCACCACAACTGCCCTTTCCACAAATCTTATCTGAACTTTCCCCACATCTTCACATTTAATAGGATCCCACAAACCAGAACAGCCCAAGTACACGCTCACAGCACTGAACTCCTCAGTCCCTTTGGACGCTGTTCATGAATCTGAGAACCATTTTCTGCAGATCTCAGAGGACACAACACAAAACTAGCCTTATGGGCACCTGTAAATGTAAATCCCTGCTCAGGGAACGTAAGTGTGTTGTGTCAAATGTCAATGAAAAGGCAGTGGATTTGATGGCCCTTTTACCTGGGTGTTAGCAGCACCAGGAAGGAAATGATTATTCCAGGGTGGGAGGGGTCTGAGTCTGAACTTTAGATCACTAACATCATTACTTACACATTTGTCTCATTCAGGCTCTCTGCTAATACAGAGTGAGAGTCTCCTCCTAGTTCTGAACATTGGGCTTGGTAGGGAGGCTATTCAGCACCTCGTTGATGAAGTAGGTTGAACTGAATAATAAAAATTTATTTTGATCCTTATGCAAGCCATTTTCACACACACACACACACACAAAAATGACAGATAAGAAAGAAGTTTCCTCTCCCAAAAGACAGAAGGTTGATTTTGCTTTTGCACTATGTTTTTGCTGTTGCGTTTCATGTATAGAAAATAACCGGGCCCTGCTTCTGAAATAGTCACTTGATCACCCGGTCATGTTATTGATAAACTTCTACATACTTACTGTATAGCCTGAACTAGAACTTCAGGAACTGTTAGAGCAGTTAGCATCAACACAATTCAGTGGCTTCACACAGTGTAAGTTTACTACCTGCCCACATGAAATCCATAGGAAAAGAAGATTATACATAGGCTATCCATAGAAGCTGAGGCAAGAGAAAGTCCTAAAGGGAGCACAGGGGCTCTTAAACACATCAGCAGCCTGAAAGGGACGTGTGTCACCTCCACTCAGAAAGCATTGGCTAGCACTAGACACAGGGCCCTGGAGGGTGAGGGGCGTGGGGGCTTACAGCTCTTTGGTCAGCACCAATCAGCTCAGCGGCAAACGGTCTTTGGGTAGGAACTGTCCAAGCTGCAGTCTGTCCTCTCGCTGCCCCCCCCACTCACTCCCTTTGTTTTCTTTGCCATCGTTTTGTTTGTTAGTTACTTGCTTTATTGGACATGGAACCTACAGTCAGGGCTTGGTGCTTGCTGAGCAAATGCTCTCCACTGAGCTACGGGCCTAGCCTCACTACCATGCAGATTTCAGTTCCGCAAAGCAGGCTATTCCTCAACTGTACCATGGTCAAAACCAATAGAAGCGCAGTAAATAATGCTAAATTCCTCTGGGTGCAATATGTTGTCTGATCTCATACAAGGGTATGGTTTCAGAGGGCAGGCATTTGATGGGAGTGGCCAGGAATCTGGAAGGGGGAAGGTTTTGAAGAGTTTCTGTGAAGAAAAAACAATTCCTCAGGACTTAATATCAGATGAGAGTAAACATGGCCATGGAGCAAAGGCACGAGCTTCTTCCCCAAAAATGTAGATGGAAGGAGGGAAAACAAGCCGGGCCACACAGGCAGCTTTTAGGTAGGAAGCCTAGGGACCACCATAAAAAAGTGCTCAAAGGGAGAGGAGGTCCTGGGCTGTGCTGGCAGAGTTTTAGGATGCAGTGTACTGGCAGAAACCACATCCCAAGTGTTAGAAGAGGCTCAAGAGAGAAAGATGCCATGCAACAGAGTTCAAGCAGAGGGGATTTTTATTAAAGGAAAAGGATCATTTAAAAGGGGGAAAGCCAGGTGGTGGTAGCGCATGCCTTTAATCCCAGCACTCAGGAGGCAGAGGCAGGCGGATCTCTGTGAGTTCAAGGCCGGGCTGGTCCGACAGCCTCCGAAACAATACAGAAAAACCCTGTCTCATAAAAACAAAAAAGGGGGAAAGGGGACTGGGAGAGACAAGCCTCTGGGGGCAGGAGCAGTGGGAAAGAGGAAAGAGAGGCAGAGTTGGGGGGAGCAGACAGAGAGAGGGAGAGAAAGAGAGACAGGGGGATGACAACTGGATAGGGCCCTTTAAAAAGGGAACATATTGAATAGGCACAGGTGTTGCTCTTAGTGGCAGCGGCTAAGGGTGTATCTTGTCAGAACTCCAAAGGAAGGCCAGTACAAATGCCTAAATACTAACACCAAGGACTGGAAAGATAAATGTAAGATCCCATAGCAATGAGCTTAGTGCCGATGGGTGCAGCTGATCTTCTCTCTGTTTGTGGCCAGAAGACCCTAAGCTGCCTGCCTGCATCTCTCACACTACACTGCATTGCCCACACAGGCAACAGTGTAGGGGGATGGAGCAGAGTTATTATTCTATACTGACTCTCAGACTAGGCTGAACCATCATGGGACTGAGTGTTAGGGCAGAGGAATCCCCAGTAGTTATACAGATTCTCCCAACGGTCTGGGTAATAGCAACAGGATTTCCCTGAAAACCAGGAGAAACGTCTTGGCAGTGGCCATGGAATACAGTGTGGAGTTAGGAGCCACCAGTCTCATCAGCAGGGGTGACTGTAAATTGCAATTGCCAAACTCACGTGACTTATATTTGGCTGACTGGGGAATGGGCATGAAGACCATCTAAAGGCAACAGCATAAGGAGATGGGGTTTCCATACAGGAAGTGAAAGGGGTCTGTGGACACTTGTGAAGGCTCTGAGGGAGCAACATTTACCAACCAGGATGCAAAGCACAGAGACTTGTCATCTGAAACTGCTGTGTGGTCAAGAGCCCAGGGAAGAGGAGAGAAGACTCCTCGGTAGCGGGTAAAGCAGAGACAATGTGGAAGCAGCAGAGAGACAGTGTGGGTGGCTTAATTCTGACACAGAGCATGAGAAAAAAGCCTGGAAGTGTTCACAGAGAATCACGACAGACACCAATCACACTTTTAGTTAGTAAATCACTACCAATTACTAAATTCTCCCTTAGTGCAAGCTCCTTTCTTGCAAAATCTTCACTTAATCTCTAAAGAAGTTTTTTCATGCCATTTGGTACTGACAGTCATAGAACAATTCAATTCAAGCTGTATGGAGTCTCCTACAGACAGGACAGGGAGAGAAGAGGTGATGGTGACAACACTGCTTGTCACCAGCTCTGAGCACCTAATAGCTGATTGCCTCTTGCTGTGTTCCTGTACAAACAGCATGTA